TTTGTTCAGGTAATTTTAGAAACATGAATTTTCAGGATTAAATTTGATCCATTTGAGAAAAAATTTCTCCAGTGATTTTGGATGATAAAATTTTATCTAGCCTGGTAAAGGCACAGATTGGAATTTTCTTAAGTGTGTATGATTTTGTTAAGAGATGTGTAATTTAACTAATGGCGATTTGGCTATTTACTAGACTTAGAATGCCAAAAAGTTGTACCAAAGGAATAGCAGAAATGAGAAGAACATTGGTGGTCAGAGTAGGAACCATTTTTAGGCTGATTTCTGTGTGTAGGCGTTATTACTAAGGCAGTCCTGGGATGACCTACCTTGGTCAGCCTGATGCCATTCGGAATCACTTAAGAATCACATGTAACCTTCCTTGCTGATTCTGTGCTCATCAGATCACCCCTGTTTATAATTTGACTTCCTATTAGCTTGTGAACTGTTGTAAGAGCCGCCCGTTTGCTTATTAATTTTTCCTCACTTACTTTTTAGAAAATTTCAAAATTTTAAATGCAAGAAAAATTGCAAGAAGGCTGGGGATTTAGCTCAGTGGTTCCAGCTCCTGCCTTCCAAGCACAAGGTCCTGAGTTAGATCCCCGTACCAAAAAAAAAAAATGCAAGAATAGTAATTGAATACAGTAGTACTAGATTGCTGAACCATCTGATAGTTTTTGGCATCATAAACTTCACTGTATCTCAAATTATCATGCTCAGGAAATTCAACATCCATAAAATACTATTTCTCCCTCTCTTCTCCTTTCCTCTCCCCTCCCCTGGCCCCCTGGCCCCTCCTTCTTCCTTTCCCTCACATCTCTTCTCCCCGCTCCCATCCCTTTCCTCTTCCCCGTCCCTTCTCTGGGCTGGGATTGAAACCATGGTTTCATACTTGCTAGGCAAGTGCTCCACCAATGAGCTACATCCCCAGCCCTAAACATTATTATTAATATATAGTCCTTATTAAAATCTCTCCTGCCATTTAAGTAATATTTTTATGGCTTTTCTCCCACTCAGTTCTTTTTTTGGGGGGGGGGTACCAAGGATCGAACTCAGGTCCTTGTGCTTTTGCAGCAGGCAGCGAAACCACTGAGCTAAATCCCCGGCCCTCACTCAGTTCTAATCAAGGGTCTTGCATCGTTGCCATGTCTTGTCATTATAATTTAGTTTCATTATTACTTTTAAGTATTTTTAAATGGGTAGGAAATTGAGATACAGTAATTAGTTTAGCAAAAGCCTGGAGAGTTAATAATTAAAGCTAATTCAAGAGAAGTGCCAAATTAATTTTGAGAAATGTTTTCTAGTTTGTCGAGGTTTTAATGATCTATTTAGGGAAACCACATAGCACAGAAGTTTAGAAATTTGTACAAATTATTTTTTATACATGCAGATTGATCAGATGTTCTGTCCTGTGGCCCAGGGGCTTTGTACTGAGCTGCAACCCAGCTCCACACCTTCCCCTTTCTAAAATTTTAAGACAGGTTCCCACTAAGTCACGGTGTTGTCCAGGCTGGGCTTGAATTTATAATCTTCCTGGCTTACCCTTCCAGAATTTTCGGATAACAGACATATGCACCACGCCCGGCTTATTTTGTTATAAATAGATCCATACATAAATATTTGACTTAGGCATAAAACCTTAGTAAAAAAGAGACCCACCTGTGTGTAGTACCCTGTCCTGGAAATTCAAGCAGGAAACAGCCTAGAATATTTGGGGTTTTTTTGGTTTTTTGGTACCGGAGATCGAACTCAGGTCCTTGTGCTTGTGGAGCAGATGGCGAAACCACTGAGCTAAATCCCTGGCCCTTAGCCTAGAATATTTGTAAAGGGAAGAGATTTGATGTTTAATTGTAAATGTGGCAAACAAAAATAGTTATTTGGTTTAAAGTACCTAAGTGTGTCTTCTACTTGGTTCATTCAATGGCAGTAGGAGATTCACTCACCTCTCACTCAACTCCCACATGGCAGGGGTGAGAAACAGGCCTACATGGTAGGCATGGGAGCTGCCTTTAAGAGACCTTAGCTTCATAAAGGCACGGATTCTCCCATGGCACAGTTTCCATGTCCCATCAAAAGAACATGTTACAAGTTACCATGCACTCCGGGAATCTCTCAGGTGGTGTATCTTCCCATCAGGCATTTACTGTTTGTTCATCATTTTCTCATCTATAGATGCAGTCTGCATAGGAAAAGGCCTTTTAACTTTCTATAGATAGTATTACTGATTAACACACCATGTTTGTGAGATTTCCAGGAAGATGAAAGTGAACCCAAGGAGAAAATGTTTTATGATTCTCTCCCTGAAAGATTTTTAAAAAGGTCCAGATATCCTGTCCCTTTACCTTTGATGCTGTGTTTCCTAAGAACAAGATATTCATCTATGTAATCACTGAACTGTTACCATAATTACAAAATCTACATGATGCAATACAGTTACCTACTCTGCAAATCTTATGATTTCATTTTTGTCACAGTGTCTTCCACAGCTTTTTTTGTAACTGGTCCAGAATCAAATTGAAGATCATATATTGCATTTAGTTTTCATGTTGCTAGGTTATTTTATTCTAGGTTATTTTATATTTTATATATTTTATGCTAGGTTATTAAAACAGTGCCTCAGTTTTTCGACATGAGCTTTTTTGAAGAATGTTCTTCATATTTTCTTATGAGGTCCAGATTATCCATTTTAGAGAAGAATGACTGCAACAGAACTTTCATCACCATTTGGAGTCATATAGTCCTGCTTTATCCCATTATTGTTAATGCTGGTTAATGCTAGATCACTTGGTTTAAGTTTTCCACACTTTACTGGAGTTTTCATAATAAGTTACTATTTTCTCCTGTATCATTTATTGTCATTTAAGGGGGTGATATTTTTTGAGACTATGTAAATATCCTTTCCCTAATCAAACTTCCATCTGCAGCAGGTTGAGTATCCTTTGCATCATCTAACAGCTGCTGGATTGATTTCTCATGTTCCCTTATAATTTTGAAGCAATTTTTCTTTTCCTGGTCACTAATTGCAATCTTAT